TACGCACACGCACACACACACACACACACACACACATATATATATGTATATATGTATATATATATATATATATGTATATATATAAATATATATATAGTACACACCGTGCAAACCCACACGCCTTACCGCCCGTTGCGTCTGCACTTGCTCCATCTCCAGGGCGAGATTAGCATTGGCAAGCAATGTTTGGTTTTCCGTATGGTATTGGTTCATCTGGGCCTTCATCTGCGTTTCATACGTTTCAAATTGGGCCTTCCTGAGCGCAAACTCGTGCGACAGCTTGTCGTACGCGTCTTGCAGCACGTTCACTTCCTTGCGCACGTTGTCGATGTGTGCGTTGTATTCGTGGTCAATCACCTGCGCCGGGTGTCAAGATATATGATATATATACCCATCCGTGAGCATAGGCAAGAGTGCATACATGTGGCATGTGGACATGTGTATTGTTAGGCATATGTACACACACTCATACTCGGGACGTACTGAACGCAGCGATCATGGCACAAGTATCCAGCGCTATTGCCGGGGGTACTCCAAAACACGTGGACGCTAGTCCCAGAGCACCCTCCGCACTGATTGTATGCGTGTTTTGTTTATGCACATGCACACGATTGCTAAACCAGGTATCTGCCATAGCCTGCAGCACGCATCTAACGAACACTGACCACGTGACACCACTCAGCACTATGTACAATCAGTTGCCGACCATTTATACATGTAAGAGGCACACAAGCAGCACACACTGACCACGTTACACCACTCGGCACTATGTAAAATCAGTTGCCGACCCCTTATACATGCAATAGGCACACAAGCAACACACACTGACCACGTTACACCACTCAGCACTATGTACAATTAACCCTAAAACGTTACACCACTCAGGCCCATACACTCTCCACATACCGCGCCGGAACGCAATACAGACACAGAACAAATGCCATAATATCACTGTCAACACCATCAAGACACTCTGCAGCTGTATATTATTACCAACACCACCAAGACACTCTGCAGCTGTATATCATTTTAACACCATCAAGACACTCTGCAGCTGTCTATCGTTACCAGCACCATCAAGACCCTCTGCAGCTGTATATTATTACCAACACCATCAAGACATTCTGCAGCTGTATATCACTATCAACACCATCAAGACACTCTGCAGCTGTACACCATTTTAACACCATTCAGACTCTCTGCAGCTGTATATCATTATCAACACCATCAAGACACTCTGCAGCTGTATATCACTACCATCACCATCAAGACACTGCAGCTGTATATCATTATCAACACCATCAAGACCCTCTGCAGCTGTATATCATTACCAACGCCAGCAAGACACTCTGCAGCTGTATATCACTACCAACACCATCAAGACACTCTGCAGCTGTATATTATTACCAACACCATCAAGACACTCTACAGCTGTATATCATTTTAACACCATTAAGACACTGCAGCTGTACACCATTTCAACACCATCCAGACCCTCTGCAGCTGTGCTACTCCTCACCTTGGTGCGCATGATATCCCGTCGCAGTCGCCCCACCTGCATGGCGTGCCTGTCCTTCATGTACGTTTCTAAGCTCAGCTCGGCTGCCAGCATGTCGTTCTGTGACTCCAGTGAGGTCAGCGCAATGATCAAGTGCTCCATGCGCGTCTCATAGTCCAGCCACAGCTCGTGTCTCATCTCAGCCTCCTGCACTAGTTCCGCCTCCCTTGGCCTTTGTTCGGTTTGTTGGGTTTGTTCGTGTTGTTGGTGTTGTGGCAGTGGTTGGTGCTTAGACTGGTAGTATTGCTGTGATGAATCGTGTGGTTCCTGCATAGGTTGCTGTGATGAATCGTGTGGTTCCTGCATAGGTTGCTGCGTCTTTGTGTGCGGCTGTAGCGCATTCTGTTGTTGTTGTTGATTCTGTTGTTGTTGTTGTTGATTATGTTGATGATGATTATGTTGTTGTTGTTGTTGATTATGTTGATGATGATTATGTTGTTGTTGTTGTTGTTGATGATTATGTTGTTGTTGTTGTTGTTGTTGTTGTTGATTCTGTTGTTGTTGTTGCTGGTGTTGGCCCTGCGCCATCATCCCCTCTGCTAGAGTGAAATATGTACAGCCGATAAATGAGAAGACTATAAATAAACGTACCCAGAGCTATATTTGCCTATAAAATGACTATAGAAAACCACTGACAGACAATAAAATGACTATAAAAAACCACTCACAAACAATAAAATGACGATAGCAAAACCACTGACAGATATCCTCAGCAAGCACGCGATTTGAAATGAGACTCATCTATAATCAGAAAACAATCCCCACAAGAATTTATTTGGGTGAATGACCAGACTACTTCACCAAAATCCCATAGAAACTGCACATTTCAATGCCACGAACTCACTAGTATTCAGCTGCAGCACCTACCTACAACAGCCTTACCTACCTACAACAGCCCCCCCCACCTACAACAGCCCCACCTACCTACAGCAGTCCCGGCGGTAGATAGCGCGCCAGTCTCCAGGGCCATACCCTGCGTGCCATGTCGCCCAAAGCTGAAATTGAAATACGTCGCAGAATTGGATGTGGTGTGTAGATGCAAATTCGTACTATCGAGATTAGAATGGGCATTTGCACCCGTCGGTACACCCTCCGGTGTCAGCGGTCCATCTTTGGTCGCCCTATTGGTTTGCTTCAGGGGCCGAGCCTCGGGAATCTGATCCAAGAGCGTGTAATCACTGTCACTGCGGCGAGTGGATAACAATAGAGTAACAAAAGGCGTTGAGTTAAGGGGATACCTGCTATGTAAGTAAAAACCAAGGTCTAGGTCTACTATAGGCTGTGTTCTATGTACGTTATGCACCAAGGTCTACTATAGGCTGTGTTGGATGGCTCCAACTGTACAAATCCCCACACGGCAGGTCAGTATGTGATCGGAATCAGGCAAGTACTTAAACGAAACATGCGCGTGAGGAGATGTATTCATTGAAACAGCACGTTCTGTTCATTGCCGTGTGTCGATAGGTCGCATTGTATCATTGTGAGTCAATAAATTGGTAGCTAAGCAACCTCGGGTAACTAGAGCCATACGAAAGCCCGCGCAATAGCACGGGAAGATTGTACAGGATTAGATTAACTACAAGAGCCAATTGATATTGGTGCTTGAGGGTAGAGTAGGATGATATGAAGCTAGGTCATGTATGTGTTCGGTACATCAACAGCTTAGTCCACTTTCCTTCGTACCTTCCGTTTCTCCGATGCGAACAGAAGTGTTTGCGTACACACTCGATAGGACATAGGAATTGGGGTAGCTGTATATAGACAACTGCGAGTGTGGTTGTATATAGGCAACTGCGAGTGTGGGTGTATATAGACAACTGCGAGTGTGGTTGTATATAGACAACTGCGAGTGTGGTCGTATATAGACAACTGCGAGTGTGGGTGTATATAGACAACTGCGAGCGTGGGTGTATATATACAACTGCGAGTGTGGGTGTATATAGACAACTGCGAGTGTGGGTGTATATAGACAACTGCGAGTGTGGGTGTATATGGACAACTGCGAGTATGGTTGTAGGAATGCACTTCCATGAATGAGTGTCTAACATACGTTACAAAGGCATACACATACATCCATGCATTCACATATTTGGGTTTGAAACGAATATGGTTTCAACAAGATACACACAAAAAAGAGTTTAAACTTGACATTTAAATGCGCCTACCTATATAACAATACACGAAACACACAACAAGCGACTGCTGTCATACGCACCTTCTGGAAGTCAGTTTTTGCACCGTGGGCGAGGAGGGCTCAGAGACGGCGGGTGTGGGTGTGGGGTTTGTCGATGCTTTTTTGACCCGTTGAGCTAGGAGTGCCAATTCCGTGGCCCCGATTTTACTATTGCTGGAATGGGATTAGGATTGGCACAAGTGTAGGGGAGCGGATGAACATACCCGAATTGCGACTGCGATTCTCGAGCCACGAGCAGACGCCTTTATATACAAACAGCACCTCCGATTCATGTAGGTACTTTAATTCCGGCTGCGAACAGCTTATTGCAACGTTCTCCTGTAGTTTGATCTGGCTACACCCTATCCATCAGTATAGTCTCAGCGCATATAGCATATGGTCGTATCCGTCTCAGTAAGCCCCCGCGGCCGGTGCAGTTGGGACTCGTATGCGTTAAACGTCTCACACTTCTACTAACGACACCATTAACGATAGCCTTCATTACAACTACACTAGCAACGCATCCGTTCTGCTTACACCCTAAACCCCACAGACATGACCAGCAACACATCCGTTCTGCTTACACCCTAAACCCCACAGATATGACCATTAGTCGATACTTGCAACTTCTTACCTTTCAACATACTCATACGCATGGACAAACACTGAAGGTCAGCACCTGCATGTACATCCTTATCATTCGACTAACATGGACATGTACATGGACAAACACGTGGACAAACACTGAACGTCAGCACCTGCACGTACATACTTATCATTCGACTAACACGGACATATACATACACAAACACATGGACAAACGCTGAACGTCAGCACCTGCACGTACATACTTATCATTCGACTAACACGGACATATACATGCACAAACACATGGACACACACTAAACGTCAGCACCTCCATGTACATACTTATCATTCGACTAGCACGTACATATACACGGACATACACATGCACAAACACTGAACATAAGCACCTGCATGTACATACCTATCATTCGACTAACACGGACATATACATGCACAAACACATGGACACACACTAAACGTCAGCACCTGCATGTACATACTCATCATTCGACTAACACGGACATATACATGCACAAACACTGAACATAAGCACCTGCATGTACATACTTATCATTCGACTAACACGGACATATACATGCACAAACACATGGACACACACTAAACGTCAGCACCTGCATGTACATACTTATCATTCGACTAACACGGACATATACATGCACAAACACATGGACACACACTAAACGTCAGCACCTGCATGTACATACTTATCATTCGACTAACACGGACATACACATGCACAAACACTGAACGTCAGCACCTGTATGTACATACTTATCATTCGGCTAACACGGGCATATACATACACAAACACTGAACGTCAGCACAGATATGCACAATCACTTGAACGACAACACATACATGCACAAAAACTTGAAACGACAACACAGATATGCACAAATACTTGAACGACAACACAGATATGCACAAACACTTGAACGACAAAACAGATATGCACAAACACTTGAACGACAACACAGACATGCACCTACTTCTCATTCGGCGTAGACGCACTTCTGGCCGGGCCCGACGCCTTCGCTTTCGCGGTCTCCCCGTCCACACCAGCACCACTAGCTGCCTCCCGAGTACCCCCCTTTCCTTCACTAACCAACCCCACCGCCCCGCCAGCACTTGGGACATCATTCATACCAATGCGTTCGGTGTGCATGAAGGTGGTGAAGGTCTGCTCCTGCCCTGCACCCGAGTCTTTAGGACCGGGTACCGTGCGGGTGTCAAGTGTATTGGCTGAAGACGTGGTAGGTACGGGTGTAATGCTGGGTGTGGGTTCCTTGGGCGTGGCTATCGGCGTGGTTGCGGGTGTGGCTGTGGGTGTAGGCGTGGGCGGTAGAGTGGTGATCTTGACACTTCGGGACCTGAATAGTATAGGGGAGTTGCGGGTCTTTCATTCAGAAGGTAGCTTCGTGTAGACTATTGGCCAGTGAATATGTACGTGACTAGGTATTGAAAATGCACGCACCATTGATAAGAGGTTCGAGAGTGCGATTTATTCGTGGGAATCACTACTCCCCAATATATACATATATATATATATATATATACATATATATATATATGATATACATATATATATATATAATATACATATATATACATATATCTATAAACGAATGTGCATAACCATGCCATTCACACCCACAAGTGAATACATGCATATATATCTATAAACGAATGTGCATAACCATGCCATTCACACCTACAAGTGAATACATGCATATATAACTATATATATATATATATATATATAAGAGGTCGGGAGTTGGCACTTACCTTCGCCAGAGT